GTGAAATGGTTTTTTAGCATCTATTGATATGATCATATGGTTTTTATATTTCATTTTGTTTATGTGGTCTGTCACATTTATTGATTTGTGAATATTGTGCCAGCCTTGCATCCCTGGGATGAATCTCACTTGATCATGGTGAACAATTTTTTTTCATGTATTGCTGGATTCAATTTGCTAATATTTTGTTAAGGATTTTGGCATCTATGTTCATCAGGGATATTGGCCTGTAGTTTTCCTTCTTTGTGGTGTCTTTATCTGGTTTGGGAATTAGGATTTTGCTGGCCTCATAAAAAGTGTTCAGAAGTCTTCCTTCTGGCATTTTTTGGGAATAGTTTGAGGAGAATGGCTGTTAGTTTTTCTTTGAATTCTCGGTGAATCCCCCCCGTGAAGTCGTCCAGGCCCAGGCTTTTGTTTGCAGTTGTTTATCGATTACATCTTCAGTTTCCTAAGTTTTTATTGGTCTGTTCAAGTTTTCTTTCTCTTACCAGTTCAGTTTTGGGAGGTTGTGTGATTTTAGAAATTAGTCCATTTCACCTAGATTGTCCAACTTGTTGGCATATAATTGTTCATAGTATTTTTTTTTTATCCTCACCTGAGGACATTTTTCCATCCTTTGTTCAGACAGAGTGGGAGGGAGAGAGAGGACGAGAGAGAGAGAAACATCGACATGAAAGGGACACATCGAGTGGCCGCCATCCACATGACCAACCAGGGCCAGGGACAAACTGCAACCGAGGTACGCGCCCTTAGCGGGAACCGAACCCAGGTCTCTCTGGACCGCAGGCTGATGCTCTAACCGCTGAGCCAAACTGGCCAGGGCTGTTCATAATATTTTTTAACAGTCCTTTGTATTTCTGTGGTGTCAGTTCTTATCTTTCCGCTTTCCTTTCTGATTTTGTTTATTTTGTTCCTCTTTGTTTCTTGGTGAGTCTGGCTAAGGGTTCATCAATCTTGTTTATCCTTTCAAAGAATCAGCTCTTTGTTTCATTGATCTTTTGAATTATTTTTATTTAGTCTCTATGACATTTATTGCTGCTCTGACCTTTACTGTTTCTTTCCCTCTACTTGCTCTGGGTTTTTCTGTTTGTTTACTTTCTAGTTCTTTAAGTTGTAGAGTTAGAAATTTTTCTTGTTTCTTGAGGTAGGCCTGTAGTGCTATGAACTTCCCTCTCAGGACTGTTTTTGCTGTGTCCCACAGATTTTTGTGTTGTGTGTTCATTTTCATTGGTTTCCAGGAAGTTTTAAATTTCTTCCTTGATCTCCTTAGTATCCCATTCATTTTTTAATAACATGCTATTTAGCTTCTATGTGTTTGAAGGTTTTTGAGTGTTTTTATTGTGATTAATTTCTAGTTTCATGCTGTTGTGATGTGAGAAGATGCTTGATATAATTTCAGTCTCCTTGAACTTGTGGCGACTTAGTTTGTGTCCTAACATGTGGTCTATCTTTGAGAATGTCCCATGTGCACTTGTGAAGAATGTGAATTCTGTAGTTTTGGGGTGTAATTCTCAGTAGATATCTATTAAATCCATTTGGTCTAGTGCTTCATTTAGAGTCTCTGCTTCCTTGTTAATTTTTTGTCTAGAGGATCTATCCAGTGATGTCACCAGGATGTTGAAGTCCCCTGCTGTTATTGTATTGCAGTCAATTTCACCTTCGAAGCCATCCATAAGTTTTTTATTATATTGTGGTGTTCTTATATTGGGTGCATATATGTTTACCATGGTTATATCCTCTTGTTGGATAGATCCTTTCAATATTATGAAGTGGCCTTCTTTGTCTCTAGTTATGGCCTTCATTTTGAAGTCTATTTTATCAGATATGAGTACTGTTACCCCAGCTTTTTTTTTTTCCTTTCTATTTGCTTGGGAAAAATTTTTCCATCCCTTCACTTTCAACCTATGTGAATATTTTGTTGTGAGTGGGTCTCTTGTAAACAACATATATATGAGTCATGGTTTCTTATCCATTCAGCTACTCTGTGTCTTTTTATCGGAGCATTCAAACCATTTACATTTAAGGTTATTACTGATATGTACTTATTTATTGCCATTTTTTTTTATTAGGGTTATGTTTCTCTTCCTGTTTCTTCTGCTTATTACAGTAGTGATTTTAACATTTCTTGCAGTGCTGGTTTGTTGCTAATATATTCCCTTAGTCTTTTTTTTTTTTTTTTTTTTTGTCTGGGTAGCTCTTTATTTCGCCTTCTATTTTTTTTTTTTATCCTCACCCAAGGACATTTTTTGCATTTATCTTAAGATAGAGCGGGAAGGAGAGCGGGAGGAAGAGAGAGAGGCACATCAACTGGTCACCACCCACCCAACCACTTCTGGGGCTGGGGACAAACTGCAACTGAGGTACGTGCCCTTAGCAGCAACTGAACCCTGGTCTCTCTGGTCCACGGGCCAACACTATAACCACTGAGCCAAACCGGTCAGGACTCTACCTTCTGTTTTGAATGATAGCTTTTTTGGATAGAGTAGCCTTGGATTCAGATCCTTGTTTTTCATTACCTTGAATACTTCATGCCATTTCTTGCTGACCTTTAGTGTTTCTGTTGAGAAATCAGCTGATAGCCTAATAGGGGTTCCTTTGTAGGTGATCTGTTGCTTATCTCTTACTGCCTTTAAGATTCTCTCTTTGTCTTTAATTTTTGGCATTTTAATTATGATGTGTTTTGGTGTGGGCCTCTTTGGGTTCTTCTTACTTGGGGGCTCTCTGTGCTTCTTGAACTTGCATGCCTTTTTCCTTCACCACGTTAAGGAAGTATTCTGTCACTGTTTCTTAAAATATATTCTCTAACCCTTGCTCATTTTCTTCTGGAACTCCTGTGATGTGGATGTTATGTTTCATGTTGTGGATGTTGTTTTGTAACATGTTGTCCCACAGTTCTCTCAAGCTGTCCTCCTGCTTTTTCATTTTGGTTCTCTGATTGGGTGAATTTTTCTACCCTCTCTTCTAATTCACTGACACAATCCTCGGCTTCCTGTAATCTGCTGGTTATTCCTTCCAATGTGTTCTATATTTCTTCTATGTCAGTCTTCATTTCTGCTTGGGGTTTTTCCTTTTCAGTTGGTTGAATTTCATTATTTCCATATCTTTACTCATGCTGTTGAGTTTCCTCATAAGCATTACTCTGAACTCTACCTCTGATAACTTGCTTAATTCCATTTCATTTATCCCTTCTTCTATAGAATTCTATTGTTCTTTCATTTGGGATTTGTTTATTTGTTTCACCATTTTGAGTGTCTCTGTGGGTTTTGGAGCCTGCCAAATTTTCCCAGTGGGTGTTGGTGTTCCAGTGTTTGTGATTCCATTTGTGGTTTTGGATTAGTGTGGGAGGGCCCATGTTAAATACCAATGTGTAGTCTTACTCTCCTGGGTAGATACACAGGCCAAGGAAAGATTCATTTTTGCTATAGCTTTTGACTGCAGTCTATTAGTCTCAGTTACTTAATGAGCCTCAGGTTGTAGCCCTCCTGGTAGTAATAGCTCTTATCTGAAATGAAAATAAAACCCTTCCTTGATGCTACCTTCTCCTCCAGCTATAACCCCAATTCTTTGCTTTATTTATTTAAAATATGTTTTTATTAATTTTTTAGAGAGAGAGTAAGGGAGACAGAGATCGAAACATCAATGAGCAAGAACATCGACTGCATGCCCCCCACTGGGGATCAGGCTCACAACCTGTGCATATGCCCTGACCAGGAGTCAAACCGGCGACCTCTTGGTGCATGGGTTGATGCTCAACCTTCCTGTGCCTCCCCAGGAAGGGCCTTTGGGATTGGTACTTCATTTTCCTCCACCACTCTTCCTTCAGTGCTTTCTTACTTCATTCAGGTCTCTGCTAAAATGTCCTTTCTTAGACAACTCTTCCCTAGCTACCTTATATAAAATAGCATCCCTGTCATTCTTTGTCCTCTTACCCTGCTTGATTTTTCTTGGTAGCACTTATTGCTGTCTGAGATCACTGTTCCTCCTCTTAATATTCTGCCTAAGTTTTTTATTAGCACTTATCCAAAATCACATTATATAATTATTATTTTTAAGTTTTCTGCATCCTCCTAGACTGTAAACTTCATCAGGTCAGATACTTTGTCTGCTTTGCTCTTTGCTGAACCCCTAGCACAGTGTTGGAACTGTGCCTGGTACATAGAGGACCCTCGCATATTTATGGAATAAATGAATTTACTTTTGGTCACCTAGAATTTGGTCTGAATTTTTATTCTGCTTCTTATTAAATGTGTGGCAGATCTCTTACCCTTTCTAAGCCTCAATTCCCTTATCTTTAAACTAGGAATACTAAATGTCTACTTCAACAGGTCGATATGAAGAGCAATGAGCTCTTGTACAAACTGCCTGGTGATCTCTAACTCCCCTCTCCACCTCCTCTGTTAATCTCAAATCAGTCTTATCACTTGACTTCTCTGTGATCTTTTAAGTACTTAATTGGCATTATGTCAGTTTTCCATCTGCTTTATAACTGTACCTAATTTATTTCCTGTGTGTTTTCGTATTGAAGTTTCTCTAACTGGAATGGGTTATTTGCATACTATATATAGCTTACCACCTACTCGCTCTCCTTATCCACTTTTCCCAGTGCCTTCCTCATAGGCATTGGAGTATGCTTGATTATTTCTTCTGATTCTAATGCACTATAACACAAACCAAGTGTACTGTGACATGAATCACAGAAATACTCAGAAAACTTGAATTGTAGTGCTGGGAAGGACTTTTGAGATAATATACTCTATTCATCCTTCAAATAAAGTGAAAGACCCCCAAAAGAAAATAGGATTTGCTGAAGATCACCAGGGTAGTAATAGTACTGGGACTGCAATCCAAGTCTCCTGACACCAAGCCATTTTAAGTTGGAAAATTCAATAATAGGCTTTAATAAGCATAGTAATTATAGTAAAAATTACACTGAAAACTTCTGATTGCTTCAAGGTATTTTTCAGTGACTCTAGTGATCAAATATTTCTTCATTACTTCAGACTGCCAGTTGGAGAAATTGCCCATGAGGCCCCGGGATCGGTCTCGCGTGATTGATGCTGCCAAACATGCCCACAAATTTTGTAACACAGAAGACGAGGAGACTATGTATCTTCGCAGGTAAGAGGTCAATGTTCTCTGTCTAGGATTTCCTTATTGTGTTGAGGTGTAGTTCTGAGGACTATAAATACCCCATCTAGTGTTGAACAGGTCTTTTGGGTCCAATACATTGATGTTTGTGGTAGATATGTAACTTCTGTTAATGCAGCAGTAGCTTTATTGTGTTTTGTTGAAATGGTGCTGAGATGTGATTCTATTGCCATTTGAGAGCTGTAATGTGTGTGTGTGTGTGTGTGTGTGTGTGTGTGTGTGTGTTTTATTGCAACTAGAATGAGTTCACAACCTGTAATCTCTTGTACCATACTATGTGCAGGCACTGATCTAGGGACTATGTTTGTGAAGATGAATAAAGTACCATCTTTACCATTAAAGAGCTCATGGCTCAGTGAGGGAACAGGCTGCCTATTGTGATATGATAAAATACTGGTGTGGTGAACAAAAGGCTGTGGGAAAACATAGGAGCAGCTCATCCTGCCTGAATGGTGGTCAGGAAAGGTAGAAATAGGTGGTGGTGTTTGTGTTTGGCCTTGAACTAGGATTTTACAAAGTAAATGAGGGGAATGAGGAGCATTCCAGATGGAGGGAATATGGAAGCATTATCCTTTCAGACGACATGGAGGGACCTGGAGAATATTATCCTAAGTGAAACAAGCCAATCAGAGAAAGACAAACATCACATGATCTTACTTATTTGTGGAATATAATGAACAAAACAAGCTGATGAACAAAATAGACCCAGAGACATAGAATTAGGATACAGACTGACAAACCTCAGAAGAGGGGGTCAGGGTGGGAGGGAAGAGATAAGCCACTGAATTTATATGCATGTATGCATAACCAATGGTCATAGACAACAGTGCTTGGGAGGGGGATGGAGAGGAGGGTGTCAATTGGGGGTGGGTGGGAAAGGAGAAACATCTGTAACAAAAATTAAAAAATAAATAAAAACATCACATTTGTGTGCTTGGGAAATTTGAGTAGTCCTTTGTGGCTAGAGCACAGGTCATTCTATAGGAAGGGATTCATGCCTCCGACGGGTGAGGACAATAAAGTGGTGAAGTGGACAAGTTTGGAACTTATCTGTAGGCAATAATCATCTCCTTTTTTAAAGCAGAGGAGTGACATGGTTAGATCTCACTTAGATTTGGGAGTCCTTGGTATATATGGGGAATTGAAACCTGGGAAGGGATAAAATGACATAGAAAGATTGTGGAGCAAGAATAAGAGAAGAATGAAGATACAATCCTGGGAAACATTGACATTTAAAAAGCAGACATAGTGATTGGAACAGAATCAGGAGAACCTGGTGATGTGGAAAACAGGAGAGGACAGAGTTTTAGGAAGTGTGTGCAGGGTGGGGGTGGGGGGTGGTCATCAATAGGTACCAGATGACCCGGAGAAGTCAATCCTAGGGAATTAAAGTCTATCCATTCATTCAGCAAATACTTTATTTATCGATCTTTTACCATGTTCCAGGTACTGCCCTAGAAACCTGGGATATCCTAGTATATTACTTTGCTAAACTGGATGGCTTAAAACAACAGAGATTGTCTCACAGTTCTGGAGGCTAGAAGTTTGAAATTAAGGTGTCAATAGAGTCATGCTCAAATGGAAGGTTCTAGGGGAGGATCCTTACTTGCCCCTTCCTAGATTCTGGTGTTTGATAGCCATCCTTCTCATTTCTTGGCTTGTAGATGCATCGCTCTCATCTCTGTTTACATCATCATATGGCCTCTCTGTGTCTCTGTCCCTGTGTTTCTTCTCTTCTTTTTATAAGGACACCAGTCACATTGGATTAAGGGCATGTTCTACTTATCTACATGACCTCTTCTTAACTAATTATATCTGCAACAACCCTCTTTTCAAATAAGGCCACATTCTCAGGTTTCTAGAAGGACATTACTTTTAAGGGACACTATCCAACTTTGTACAACCAGTAAACATGCAAAGAACCCTGCCCTTATGGAGCTTATATTCTAGTGTTGAACTAGAAAAAAACTACGGCTGATATCTAGCTATGTTTATTTAAGAAACCAAACTGTTATCAGCCCACACTAATGACAAATATTAGAAACCACAGCTAGGTGACATTCGGTAGCAAATCAAGCATCGAGCGCCATTGTGACAACCAGAATTGTGCAGTTGAAAAAAATTTTAGTCATATACAAGATACAACCAGGGGCCCAAATTATAATAAAACTTATGATTGTCACAAAAGGAGGCCTTCCAGGAAATATTGGGGAAACACTTCATTATGGTACTTAGAAAGGGTTGTAAATAACATGTCCTATCAAAAGCTCATCCATTCTCTTGTGCTTTTTCTCCCTCCATTATTCTTTATTTAGGTTTCTGATTTTGAAAATTATTAACTATCTTCAGGATCAGTAAATTATTAATTATATATTTTATAACATTACATATATAATATAATTACACATAATACTATATAATAGTATTATATATTACATATTAAAAATATATATTATTCAGTAAATACAGAAAGTAATCTAATAACACAACTAGGTCACAGACTCCTATGACACTATAAGGCAGATGCCCTCAGTTCTAGGCCAGAAAACACATGGCCCTAGGCTGAAGTAGAGACCATGGAATCCAATAAGCCTTATCCTGGAAGTGATCCAGCTTCAGGCCCAGCCTTAGTGTTGGGTACTGCCAAGGCCTGTGGCCTCTGGCCAAGTGATTCTGTTGGGCTGCAGAGTTGTTAGTGTTTACCAATAAGACAGGGTATATTTCCCCCTTGGTTGACATAGTTCTGCTCATCATGGCCAGTCTAGTGTGCTCCCCAATAGGCCAGGGTGGAATTTCTGTCTGCTCCTTACCCCACCTCTTATATAGCCAGTGAGTGTGGGCACACCAGTTACTGAAAAGGCAGCAGTCTGCCCAATACAGGCCGCGGAACCCAGCACTTTCCACCTCCAAGTCTCTCCATTCTAAAGTACCCCTTCTTTGACACTGCTGTTCCCTAGTCCTCTCACCCGCATCTACCACTCTCCCAGTTGCAAATCAGTGAGTGAGTTTCTGTTTGTATCTTTGTTCCCCATGCCTCCCTTGATGCTATCTCCTTCCTTGATTACTGTGAAGTTGCTCTTGTGATTCTCTTTCTACTTCTTTGTCTTTCTTTGTCTTCTGGATTATTCTGCCTGCCCCTTAAATGTTAGTGTTTCCCCAGGGCTCTGACCTTGATTTTCTCCCCTCTCTCTCTATACTGTCCTTAGACATTCTCACCACCTTTTGTGGCATCAGTTACACTTATACACTGAGGACTCTCAAAATCTAGATCTTAGTTTTTCTCCTGTGCCCAGTATTGTATATCTGCCTATTCTACCTCCTCACCTGATGTTCTACCTCAGATCCAGTGTGACTAAGGCCAAACCCATCATTTCTCTAATGTGGAAAATACTGCAGATTGGTTCACTCAGCACCATTCCAAATCTTCTTTTATAGTCACCTATATACTAGTGTCTGTAGTTAGGGTACATATTCCAGCCCCTCCATTCCCAAAGAAAACTCTGAGATTCTGAATGTGACTTAGCTTTTGCCAAGTAAAAGGGGTGGAAGTAGAAGTTGTTGGGTGGGGCTTCCAAGGAAAATCTTTTTTACTCTTCTTATTTCTTCCTGTTTTTTTTGGAAAACAGACTTGATAATTGAAGCACCAGCAGCCATCCTGGGACTGGAAAGGACAGGTCACAAGAATTTCAGAGCTTTTGCCATGCTATTCTTGGGTCTCAACAATTGCCAGGAGCCACCTTCCTCCAGACCTCTTTTACATGAGAACAAAGTCTTGTGTTGAAGCCAGTGCAGTCAGGTCTCTCTAACCATCAGACAAACACAATTTCTTCTTTTTCCTTCTCTTACCATGACATCATCATTCATGCAGTGGCCTACACCAGAAATCTGGGAACTTATCCTCTCTTCCTCTCATCCATCCCTATCCCCACAGTCCCCTGCACACATCCACTCACTCACCATGTACTGTCAGTTCTACCTTCTAAGCTTTCTTGTGGCTGCCCCTTCATGTTCAGCCCTGCTACACTGCCATCGTTCCGGTACCCAACATCACTTGCTTGGGCTGTTGAAGTGCCTTTTACCTGGCCTTTTGCCTTTAGTTTTACTCTCCTGCCTGAATGTACATTATGTCAATCTCCTTCTTCAGATCTTTCAGTGACTCTTCATGACCTACAGCAGTGCCTTTCAAACATTTTTAGACAATGAATCCTTTCTTCAAATGAAACTCTTACTCAGAAATATAAATAAGCAGGAAGCTGCTCTGATTGGGGAAGATTTGAACCCAACCCATTAAGGACTTCTTTCCTTCCCCTATCTGATTTCATTTAGAGGTGATCGAGGAGTACAATTTTTTAAAATCCTGGTTAGGCCCTGGCTGGTTTGGCTCAGCAGTTAGAGCATTGGCCTGTGGACCAGAGAGTCCCGGGTTCAGTTCCTGCTAAGGGCACGTACCTCAGTTGCAGTTCATCCCCGGCCCCGGTTGGGGTCATGAGGGGCAACCAGTCGATGTGCCTCTCTCACATCAATGTTTCTCTTTCTCTGTTCACCCCTCTCTCCCTCCCGCTCTATCTGAACATAAATGCAAAAAATGTCCTTGGGTGAGGATAAAAAAAAAAATCCTGGTTAACAGGATAAAATCTAAAAGCCTGAAGGCTCTCTATGATCTGGCCTTGGCCTGCCTGTTCATCCTCATCTCCCTGGTATGCCCTTGATTTTTTTTTAAACAACTGCCAAACATTTATCATCTTGTATAGGTTCTGTGGGTCAGGAATTCAGGAGCAGCTTAGCTGGGTGGTTCTTGTCCCTCACGAGGCTGTGGTTAAGAGACTGACTCCGGGAGCAGTCATTTGAAGTTTTGACTGGTGCTGGAGGTTCCACTTACGTGGCTGTCAGCTGAGTGTTAACTGTTGGGGAAAAGCCTCAGTTCTTCACAACAGGGATCTTCCATAGGCTGCTTGAGTATTCTTGTGATA